AAAGTCAAACGAAGCCTTTTGGCCAATTAGTAGTTTTCTGGCTTGAGAGTACCCAGAGGTAGCCTACGTGATTCTTAAACATTTATGGTTTATATACTTATATGTTAGGTTAGCATTCTCAGCATGTGAAACATTTGTCTAAGCCAGTGGTTTTCAACCTTTTTTTACTCCAAGGCCCCTCTCCTCTCCAAATCCAATAGGCTTCGTTTGACTTTTCGGAGATCATCGGCCGTTTCTCAATACCAAGTACGCAAAGTTCGGACTTGTGTCCTTGGTAGTTCGGACTTCGCAAGTTAGACTTGGAAGTGCGAACTCCCGAGGACGGGAGGACCCAAGTCCAGTAATTCTGCAAATGGAACAGCAGCGTACTTGATAACATCAGTCAGCTCGCCTTGGCTACTCCGGTTATCTAATCAAATCGATATGACCTGGAAGAAATAATAGATTCATGAGACCAAAGATTGCCTGTTAGATTTACCCAAAATGAATGATATCTCATGTTTAACCACTACAGAGACATCAGAGCCAGTGGCAAATGTCAGAAGGACTAGCAAAGGTGAGACTGCTCTCGGCGGATACATGAGCACTGAGCGCCCGCTGATCGCGTGGAGCCCATGTCTCCGAAATCGGCGAAGCAAATTTTCAAATAGGCACTATCTTTATAAATAAACCGCAGATTTGAGTTTTAAACAACTACATTGTCGCCTGAAATACTCTTAGAACTGCATTTCATGACACAATAACAGTAATATTTTGAAAATTGTGCGGGTTTTCTCCTCCGCCATTAACGCTTGCTGGTTGGTGCGAAATGCATTCTGGGATACCTGGCTGCCTCAAATTCGCACAAGTCACCTCTGGATGCATTCTTGATAAAAGGGGCGGCGCAATAACACATCCGGGGATTTGAACTGTACTTGGCTAGATGTGAACTTTGAATTGGAACAGTACTTGGGCGACGACTGATGACATTTAACAAGTCCACAAGAACACAAGTACAGACAATAACACATATTGAGAAACGGCCATCTACTCTTCCCTGTGGATTACCTCTGACCTACTTTCTGTACGATCTGAATTTCTGTGTATTGAATTTTAGAATATTGAATTTGATGTTCCGAATTTCCTCTTCATCTTGAACAAGTAAATATCTACAGCGGATCTAAAATATTCATAATTAATTATAACTAGTTATGATTAATTATTCATATTTCCCATGAGCTGATTCGTTACAAAACTCTGCCATAAACATTTCAGTTGTGTTAAATTTCAAATGTTTAATATTCAAGTTAAAAAAAATCTAATTCAGAACTATGTAAAATGCCACATAATATTCAGTTTTGTTAAATGACACTTGTCAATCGTTCAAATTTACACAATACAAATTTAATTTGTTTTGTCATATTATAAGCTCCATACTATCACATAATTAGTTAGGTTGGCCCAAACTTGTATGGTAGCTTTAATGAGCTTTAATGATGAAGAGAGGTTATTTTCAGTGGTAAGACCGAGATAAAATTAATTATAAGATGCAAGTTATTCACAGGACATCACAAGGCACACTACACAACCAGACAGAATACACATGACAGTATTGCACAATATGATTATCATGTAAGAGTTTATACTGTGCCCACAGGTTATGTTGGGGATGTACAGTATGTCCACATCTTGTAAAGTGACTGTTAACTGGATGAATCAGTAAATTAATAAACATGACAGCTGCTAGTCAGGCCCTGAGAATAGAAACACGACAACTGTTAACAGTCCCTGGTATCAGCTTTCTGAAGCCAAAATAATGAAAAAGGGAATAAATATCTGTATCACTCGAAGTTAATAATCCTTAACGATTCAAAAACAGTTAACTGCCATTTAAAATACGCTTTTCATCCACAGTCCCCTACACCAACCTAGTGTCTTGGTCTATTGCACACATGAGTTTTATCCTGATATCCTTCACACCTGAAGTCATTGTTTTGCATAAAGCTGTTATAAACAAAAAGTGTCTTAAGTACGTTACAGTAAATATTTTCAATATTGTTGTAAACAAAAAGTAATATTGCTAGCGTTTCATGTTCAAATTAGCACTGACAAAGGCCGGTGTGCCACAACTGTCTGTTCTAGGCCCATTATCATTAACAACACAAGTTAACAGTCTCTGTGAGAGCATCATTTGTATTCATCAGCACCTTTATATTGGTGATACATCATCAAAAGAACCCGGTTTTATGCTGATAAGTCTGGAGAAAAAACATGCCTTCTGTCTCAAACAATCATTATCCTGTCAATCACTGTCAGCTGTATCAGCTGTCAGCCTGGCTATACTCATCAATCTTCTGACTCACTTTACTGTCAATTTGTTATGAAAACATCATAAGATTGTAGTTATTCCACTCATCTAAATACACTAGTCAAAACTTTGGAATAATTACGATTTTTTTTCTATGCCTTTGAAAGAAGTCACTCATGGTCACCAAGGCTGCATTTATTTGATGAAATACAGTAAAAATCAGAAATATAGGCCTACAATATACATATTAATATTGTGAAATATTATTAGAATTTAAAATAACTGTTTTCTATTTTAATATATTTTAAAATGTAATTTATTCCTGTAATGGGAAAGCTGAATTTTCAGCATCATTACTCCAGTCTTCAGTGTCACATGATCTTTATTTAAATAAATGTCAAATGA